ACCCTCTGCAGCAGCACGCTGCCTGCCAGTCACCCCGAGGACTGCCCCACATCCCCACAGCCCACAGACCGAGAGACCTCATCAGCCGTGAGCAACTAACAAGGATTCCACAGCCACCCCGCTTCATTCTCACCTTAGCTGAAGCCTCCAGCTAAGCTGCGTGTCCTTGTGACAGAGACTGACCTTGGGCCAAGGGCAGAAGATGGAACAGCCCGGGCATGAGCTGGTGCGGAGTCCTGCTGCCGCTTCACCTTTTCTTGACTGTTTTCATTCTTACTTCAGCTTACCTAAGAGTAAAATCAGTACAAGCAGCATGTGCAAAAACTGCTCTGGTGAACAACTGCTAGAAGGGGGGCAAGTTACATTAAAATGATGTCTAGAAGATAAGGCGCAGAACCAAGTCCACAGAGGCAGCACTGGGAACTGTACTTCACCTGTGGGCTAGAGACAAGGGAGCGAGCTTCAGTTACCACCTAGGAAGCACAACGCATCCTCTCGAAACCGTGCTGCAGGAAGGAGCAATGCTGGAACTAAGGAATTAAAGACAGTAGATGATCAACAGGTTTTTAACACGTTGGAAAGACGACTGGGCAGCAAATACAAGCATTGTAAAACATTTTCACAAGAGTGACAGGAGCCTACAGCCACAAAAAGCCATCAGCAGAAGCAGCATTGCTTACAGTGAGTCAATGAAAGCCTACACGTGAATACTGAATAATGCAATGTTTAAGGAGACCTGCAAAGTCACTGTTATCAGGTTTGTTTATTTAACAACTGCAAGTATTTGATGACATACATCAGTTTCACAAAAAAGTTAAAGTTCTCTGTTTAGTGGTACACAAAAGAGCTTTAGAAACTTTAAGTCTAACAAAAAATGGAAGTGTAGTTCAGGAAAGTGCACTTAAAAGCTGAATGCCAGCAATTTTAATTTTTTTTTAAATGCTCTTTAATATTAGGTGATGCCTTAGTCACAAATTTAGCTATACACACAATTTCCTTGATTTTCCTTTTGAAATAAGCACTATAGAAAAGTAACACAGCAGCCACCCTTCGCACTGTTTTTCTTTTGCAGTTTTCACTCGTATTCACTCCCTCAAGTCACACAAGAGTGACTGTGGCTGCTGTGTTACTAAAAACCACAGCAACTCCAACAGATACATGATGTGTGCGAGCATGTGTATATTTTATATATACTTTTCATATATAAAAATACACGATATAGTATAAAAAACTCCAGATAAACTCTTATTCTCACAGTAGCAAATATATCAACTTATTTTCACAGTACTTGGTTTTACTAACTGGGACGCCCAGAATGATTAAAAGTGATTTCCTCCAAAGCTGGCAGTCACAGGTCCCGCGCCATGCAGGTCAGCCACAGCAACCGCGCGCACGTCAAGGCCGCTGGAGAGTCTGCACAGAAACACCACTACCTTACTTTGCTTTCAATGACCCAACCGTCACGGGCTTCTTGGTACCTCCTGCAGAATCTCTCCCTCAGGCAGATGATCCTAAGAGGCGCGTGGCTCGGCCATTCAACACGCTGAGAGAAAAGCTGTAGAAATCAGTCGGTGTTTTCTGGCGGAAGGGAAGTGTCAGCTCCTCACCTGGCCGTCGCTGTCTTCACAGAC